GACCACAAGTACAAATGGTACACACTGGCCGGCCGACGACACACATTCACAGTGGATGACCACATGCCGGTCGTTTCTTGTCGAAAGTCGTGTCGGCTGTGGCAGCACGAGCGAATAATTCACTTGTCAAGCGCCGACAGTTGTTTACCGCTCGACGACCAGGCTGCGGCAGAGTCAAGAGTGTGGGAGACGAAGGCGAGGGCGAAAGCGAGAAACGAAGCCGGTGCACTTCAGAGAGGAGCGGAAGAAGGAACTCGTTGGCCTCGCCGCGGAAACAACTGACGTTGCTGCACGCTGAAGCCTCAAAATAGCCTCCTGGTCGGCGTGTTGTCTCCGAAACGCCGGTGAGTTCTCGCAATTAACTCAGTTCTGGCCGCCGACCGTCCGTTCGCGCATTTAGGCACCGTCGCAAGCAAGCATTCATTCGCTTTCGTCGCTCTTACTCCAGCCTCGTAGTTCACACGCCGTACGCACAGCATCCTCCTCATTTCGCCCTGACGAAAAGTACGATTGGCGGTCGCCGCCTGCACATCACTCGTCCTCGCCCCAGTCGCATCGGCAGCTGATCTCTATCGCTCTTGCTTCTCGTCGACGTTCGCCCACTTCGTCCTGTGTACCTCGCTGTTGCACTGTTGATCGAAAATCAATACGATGGTAAGGTCGGTTTTCCTCTGTCCTTTGGTTTGTACCCGTTTTCCGCCAAGGCCATTAAGCTTTTGTCGTTTGCTTGTGTTCGTTTACATTTGTATTATTATCTTTTATGGTTTAGCTTACGTTTTTCTAAGTGCTAGATTGCTAGTGTATCTCCCACAAAGCTTCTGTTATATCTTTTCTTTTACATATGTAATATAATGTACTTTCTGCATAAAAAAAACGAATTCATTTCAGCCAGCCGAGAGAAAGACCGTCAGGAAGACAACAACCAAGAAGGCGAAAGCTGAGGGCGGTGGAGCTCAGACGTTCGACAACAAAACCGTTCAGGAATTTAAAGAAGTATATGATGGCTAACGACGATGAATGGTCATTGTCGTCATTTCCTGTATGTGTTCTCTAACCGAGTCTGTTGCGCTAGGCCTTCGGAATTATGGACCAGGACAAGGACGGCATTATCAGCAAGAACGATTTGAGGGATCTCTATGCTTCCATAGGTGAACCGCTCGCTGCCGATTCACTCACACTCGTGCCTCCTTTGAGACAGCACGTTTTTAGGTCAGATTCAACCAGACAACGTCCTAGAGGAAATGATAGGCGAAGCTCCTGGCCCGATCAACTTTACAACGTTCCTGACGTTATTCGGTGAACGACTAACAGGTACGGTAGAATACGAGACTTCTGCTAGCGCAAATCGCCAATTGCATATCATAAATGTTTATCATCGTTTCTCAAATTTCACGACACCCCTAATTTTATCTCTAGCACATTTTGAAGATGGAAAATAATTCTTTTATGAGATACTGTAAATCGCATGACTTCTCGATTATAGTACATAAGTTTAATTTACATTGAATAAAAGTTGTCAGTTCGGTCGACTGTTTTCTACTCATGAACAACTTACTGGATGGTGGTCATCGTTTGAGGCCATGCTACCTTGAGCAATTGGTTTTCCTCTGCCCCCTCCTCATTTTGCTTCGTTCCAGTTTCGACTCACCTCGTGCTGCTGTTTTTCGACTACGAGGCATCAATTGTATTGGAAACCCTGCTGAGGTAACGTGCATCGATTATTGCTCAGTAACAACGGTGTGTCGACTGAACAACAGAGAGTCAATCACTCAAAGTCTGAGTCTTCGTCATTCGCGGCTGGTACAAATCGTAGATATTCCTCGTCCCGCTGCTAGCACCGGAATTTTACGCTTCTGCCTTCAAACCAACTTCTCAGCCCGACTGAGCGAGCGACTGTTCTCCAAGCTATCGATCGAACTTCGAGGCTATTGCCGCCGTCACTCAGCAGGGTGGCACAATGCACGGAGACGCCAAACAATACTGCAAACATGCGATGACTATGCAAAGCATCAAGTCGAGCACTTTTCCTTTGAAAGTCAAGTCGATTTCGTTCAAGTCTTTTTTTTCGCCTTAAATTTCTTGACTGTTGCACTAACTTTCACATTTAAAATTAGGTGTACTGAGAGTAATCTCAAGATGTGACTAATAAATTCAGCCTTTTATTAGCCCAAAAAACATTTATGAAAAGCGGAATTAAATTATTAAATAATTTAATGATTATCAGCATATTATGAAGCAATAAATGAATGTTGCGTTTGTGATCCAGAAGAAAACGTTTATGATGTTACACATTTAGAATCAGACAGACTTGACTGATTCTCGTGTACAGCGAGATGCATCAAACAAAATTCTTTTTTTCCTTCTTTAAGACTGGATAGACCTAAAGCCAAATTCTCCAAGCATTAGTTAGTTTTCACCCATGGCTTTCATAAGTCTCGCACAACGAGGCTAGATGCAGTCTTTCTCGCCATCCTCTGTTCCGCGTAGTCCAAAACATCCTATCCTTGTTTTACAATTCGACGCATTAAATTACGTCAAATGTTTAGACTAATATATTATGATTCACATGTTTGAGATGGAAGTAAATGATCCAATCCAGTATTCAGTCATTCGCCTTTCATCCCTGTAGACGAAGCAAACGACCACGACTGTGTGTAGGAGAAAAGCAGAAGACCCTTACACCGCAGATATTACCAGTATTTGTAAGATTCAGGAGCTGAGTCAGAGAAATAAAGAACGAACACCGATTCATCATCATGATAAAGGAATAAAGGTGCAAGTAACGTCCGTAAGGAAGTACAGGGTACATGTATGTATCAACGGTTGCAGTCATTAATTAATTCATAATGACTTACTCTACATATGACTCTCCATCTTGAGATACAGTACTACTACGTATGTTGCTTTGAAATAAACTTGCACGGTGTTCGAACAATTTATGATTTCGTGCTAAGTGTCTGTTAGAAATATTTATCCCAATGCTCCTATCTGTTCTCATTATGGTTGTGCCATGAATGCGTCGCTGCCCCCCCCCATTCTTTTTTCTTTGCTTTCTACCGCCGTCACCCATTGTCCACATAATTCCACCATCGGATCAACTCAACATGTGGATAATGTCGGTCCAGTTTATTT